GGTTCAAACATTTGGAAGATTGGATTGGCTTAGGTGGTGTTCTTCTTGTAATCAGGATTAATTCTTATGAACGTCAACATGAAAAGCCATTGTGTCGTACGCTGCGTGACGAGGGATGGATTAAGGATTGATTTAGGATGTGTTTATAGGAATGAGCATGGCAAAAAAAAAAAAAAGTTAAAAAAAAAAAGAATGGACATGGCATAAGACATTGTATCTGGACACCAACGCCCGATAAATCAGATCTGTTTTTTCTCACTCTGTCACTTGAATGGCCCAGTTTGGTTGGTTGAAGGGGGGGCGGGGGGAGGCGGCGGGGAGCTGCGGAAGGGAGAGGGTCTTGTTGATGTTGTGAGGGCAGGATTTGGAGGGACTGGAATTTGAACGCTTTCTTGTCGGTGACTTGGGTTCGGTCAATTTGCAGAAATATTATGTTTTTAAATTTAGAATATTCATGACCTGCTGCTAACCTAGCACATAAAAATAAAAATAAAAAAAAGAGTTAGCACACAGCTCCGCTGCTCCGGAAATGGGGCTGACGCTTCTGTTGGTTGCTCACTACAATCGGCCAGCGGCACCCCTCGACAATCGTTTGTACAAGTCTGTCTTTTCTTTTCTGTTCTTCTTTTTTCTTTTTTTCTGGTCTTTTCTTTTTCGGGAAGCTACTAGGGAGTTCCAGACAGATTGAGAATATACAGTTGGGGCAAAAAGCAGTTTCCTCATTCACTTACTTTTATAATATAAGCTGCGAGATGCTTAAAAAAAAATTAAAAAAATGCAGCTTTAAAGTGCACTTCGGGGAATGTATTGAAGCTAGCTTTCCGGTCAGGTAGGGTTGCGTGGCCCGTGGGGGTGTGTTGTGTTGGGGGGAATGCCCGAGGTGTCATTAATTTCAAACTGTTTTTTTTTGTGACTGTACTACCCCTTCTTTTTTTTTCCCGTTTGTTTGCGAAGGAAGAGGGATTGGTGGAGAGGAGGGAGGGGAAATTTAAATAATTTCGTTAATTAAAAGCCTTCCGTTGACGGTTTGAGGGTGGACCCCAAGAGGAAGGAGGGAGAGGGAAAAAAAAAGGCTTGAGCCTCAAAAGATAAGAGACACACACACAATAAGAATTGGGAACAGTAGGGGGAGTCTTCACGTCTGTCAGACGGTTTACTCTCGACTCTCGACTTGATCCCTGATCTTCATCCCTCACACAAGTGTCGCAAGGTCAATACAAAGAATTGAAAAGAATCATACAAGAAATCTAAATTTTACTGCAAAGTCCGACGGTAGATCAAAGAAAGGGAAAGGAAGAGGGGTCGAGGGAGTCAAGGGAGAGGAGTAATTGAGAGAGGGGGGGGGGAGGAGAGGAGGTGAGGAAGGAAAGCCACGCCGTCCTTATCGTTGATTCGTCGCTCAAATACTGTGCGACACGCAAATCAAACGCCAACACGACTCAGATAGATAGAAAAAGATAGTCTCGTACCTATCGCTGCTGCAGTAGAGCTCACCCCGATAGGGATAGGCCCAACACGCCAGGGTGCGCTCAGTGCGCACCTACCTACCCTCACAGGGGTAACTTCAGTACAGTCAGAAAAAAAAAAAAACAGTTTGAAAAATTACATTTTAGGCATTTCCCCGAACACAACACACCCCCAGGCAACCCTGCCTTACCGGAAATCTAGCTTGTATTAAAAAAAAAAAACAAAAAACAAACCAATTTGAAACTGGCCAAATGCAGCTATAATGACAGCATGTGGCCAGAATTCCGTTCCGAGATACGTAAAAAACTCCCTACCGTCTTCACCCGAATAGAAAGCCCGGTCATTATCGCTGCATCTGGACTGAAAGTTGGGCCAAATGCAGCTATAATGACCGGGCGTTCTATTCGGATGAAGACGGTAGTGTGAGTATGCATGCCCTTAGGCTTGCTTGACAAAGATCTGTGAGCTATGAAGAAGTTGAAATGCGCACGTACGTCTTAGAGCAGCACACTCACATTCGCACTTTCCTTTATGTATCGAACTGCGATTACGGCCAGACCTGGATGAATCGGACCGCAATCACGTCCAGAGCACAGAAAAAGTTTGAATGCGGTTTCGTTAGAGTAATATTCCTTAAAAAAATCGACTCCTTCAAAAAGAATAGTGAAAACGCTCTATAAGGACATGTCCTAAGAAAACATTAAGTTTTCTCCAGCCAAATCGTTCCGATTCCTAAAGAAACTCGCGAGGGTCTTTAAGAAAGGAGGCATCGGAGTGGAAAGGGCATCCTTAAAATAATTTGAATCGTGGTGGCGGCACCCGACTGGCTGAAAGCCTGAAGCATGACATGTGTTTTCCATCTTTTGATTTTCCTTAATTTTTTTTGTTCTTTTTCCTTTTTGCATTCGGCCTTTCTTAAACTTTTATAACTAGACTGGGTGTGTTTCAATCAGCTTGCAGCAACCTGGGGGGGGGTTAGACTTGTGTTTTTAAGGACTGGACTGTCTGACGAGACCCTATGCCCTTAAGCTGACGTTTTTTATTTTTTATTATTATTTTTTTTTTTTAATCGTTTTTGCCCGTCTTATATTTTTAGTTCGTGGGGAAATTCCCGTCTGTACCCGCTTCGCTGCTCTGATTTTTTATTTATTTATTTTTTTAATAAGACCGGGGGTTCATTACACAACTATATTGATTGTTCGTGACAACTCTTGTTTGTCTGTGCATCTAACCTCATTCATGATTTTGTCGGGTAAATATGAAAAAAAATGGGAAATAATTACCTCCCTCTCTGCCTACGCTTCACGGGGCAGTCTCGATGAGATATTACGTAAATATAATGCCATGCACTGCCGGCCATTCAAGATTTTTTTTTTCCCCCATTAAAAAAGCTATATTCTTCTCTCAATTTCACCTCACACTACCTACCTACCACTACTCTTAATTGTAGGCATACGGGGAACGCACTACTCACCACATGCACGAAAGGTAAATAATATGGCGGTGTATCTTTCCATGTTTTAGCGGAAGATTCGTTCTCGTTTTGTACGTTTGGTCAGTGGTGGAACGAGGGCCAATTGCCGGTTCCAACTGAATCGCATAAGGCCTAATAAATATTAAGTAAAGTAGATAGTGGAACCAGATCTGAGTTGGTCGGAAGGCTCGATTCTTATTTAAAAAAAAAAAAAAAGTAAGAAAAAAAAAAAACAAGGCTCGATTCAGTTATGGAGTTCAGATATGTAACGTTGTACTGCAAGAAGTAGGAATAGGAAAGGAAAAACAGAGATTTTCGGGCCTCGCTCGACTACACAAGATTGTACTACATGTATCAGGAGCTGGTAATCGTCCAAATACATTCAAAATGTTCAAACAGTACGAGTGTATCTTGTACGAAACACGGTCGAGATACATGTAGGAGCTTGAGTAGTGGCGCAAGGCCCTTCGAGTGCGCATCGATTCGCTGTGCGCAGACTTGTGTCACGACAAACACAGACGTGTTGGGTGTGTCTTTTTTTTTTTTTTTTTTTAATGTACAGGTATTACATGTGTCCG